TTCGTGATGCTGCTCGGATTCAGAAAAAGCAATTCAAACTTTTACGTGAAGAGCGTTTAAAGGCTCCACGTCGTACTTCAGAGTTAGGATCTTCTCCTTTTTCAGGAGCGTCAGAATCCTGCCCTTCGTCTGGATTAATGTCATCAAATCCTAATAATTGCTCAGATTCTGTTGATCTTCAAGGTCAATTTGTTATACATCTACAAGATGAACGCCAGATTTTGGAAAATCTTAAATTGGAGGAGAAACGTAAACAGGCTGATTTAGAGGCACAGTACAATAAAAGTATTAGTGAACTACATGAGCGTCAAAATGTAAGTCCACTCTCTTGTCTTCAAATAATGTAAATCAATCATTAAAGTTACTGTATGATTTTAGTTAATTATCATATAGTTTAGTGTTTTTGTGACACGCCAATGCATTTCTTAAAAAATGCAAACACTAACGTATGCTGGTGCTAAACAAACGCCGACATACTTTCATTGATTTGAATGGGTAATATTTTTATTGTTCACAATACATCTTAGCAGAAAATGAAGACTGATGTGTGTTTTTATCACTGGATTGTAATGCTGTTGTAAGTCTTGGGTATTTAGATATCTGCTTTTAAAAATATCCCCAAGGCTATAATTACAATTTATTTTGTTTTACAAAAATAATGTTTAATCCTATTATTCTCTGGTTGCCTTTTGAGAATTTTGCATTGGATACCATATGTTTTCCAAAAACCTATAAACTCTAGGTCGGAATACATACTGTCGTGCACTAATACATGGAAGAAGGTTGTCTTCCGCTTCCTCTTGTTTCCTTCAATAAGCACATGATATTCTTGTTTAGTGTTCTGTTAATTACAAAATTAATAACCATTCAGTAACATGAGATGCATATTGTACTTAGTTGTGTATGCTAAATAAGTGATATGATTAGTATAATACGTCTATTTTGTTTATTTTTATACTATACTGAAGTTCATAAAAATTTCAGAAAATACAAATGATCTCAGAATTTCGTGTTGAATTCATCTTATTCCTTACCTCATTAAAAATTAATTAGAACATCTAAACGTGAATAATATTGCTTTCAACTAAATCGCCACTAAGCTTTTACTCTAATATATATAGATATTCATATGAAAACATTAAACCATTCAAGGCAATTTATTAGTTAATGATCATAATGAAATAGATTGCATAACCACAAATAATAGGTAAAAGGTACAAATTGATAGTAATAAAACACATGTACTAGCAGAGATAGGGTTAATAAAATAACACAAGCTCTGGTTCAATACAGGAAGTAGGCCAAACCTGGATAAATAGGCTTTAAAATAATCACAAAACGAATTACGTAATAAGAAGTGTGTATATAGTTAGGTATTGAAAAATGTAAACGGTGAGGTGAAATATTACAAACAAATACGGGCTGTGAAAAAAATCGTTTATCAAATCATATCCACCCAAGGCAGGGACAAGGGTGTCACGAATTTTTTCTGGACACATAAACTGAGGTTATAGGTTCGAATCCCTATAGCTTCCGTTATGTGTAGGAGACGGTATTAAACCTCATTAGAAATGACGAAGGTATACTAAAGGTCATTTGAAATGATTCGGTTTTATCAACTATAACCTCAAAGGGTATCTTGAATATTGTAAGAAGTTAATTGTTTTCAGTCCTAATGAGACTTCTAACGAAACAGTCACCTGTTATAAACAATGTATCTGACTGTGCTAAATAACAACATTATTCTAGCTACTGTCTTTCAAAGTGAATTGGTTAAAAGGCTGAAAAATTCGGATAAAATGCTTTACATATATACAAAAGTCATAAAAATATAAGTTTGGTGCCAGAATAGGGAATTATCACAACTATTCTAAGTCTAGTGTTTTTCAGCCATAGTTTTAAACGACTTTCCTAACAGCATTTCAGAATTATTTTTTATTTGCTGTACCTTTAAACGATTTCCCTTATCATCTATTTGCTACCGTCTCTAGGATAAAGTTGAAACAACACATGCCCGCGAGAACAAAGAATTTAAAGAAAGTCGTTTAGAAGGAGTCAAAATTCTTTCTAATTTTCAAGAGAAACAACGGCGTGATATGCTCAAACAGCATCAACGCCAAAGAGAGGATTTAGAGAATAGAATTCGTGCCCGGAAAGAATCACTGGAAGCTGCGGTGCGTTGTCTAGTTTCTATTTTATACGCGTTCAGTTGTTGCGAAGCACTCTGCTTTCTATATGTTCATTTAATTTTTGTCGTTTATTAATCGCTCACAGAGTATGGTCATATGGTTTTGTAATGGCTTGTTTAACTTTTTGGAAGAAACTAATGATAAATACCCCTACTATTTCCTGACCCATGCAGACCAAAAATTACCTACTAGGTTCTAAGCAATTTATTGCAACAAATGCACTATATATATAACTTACATCTGAAGTGTGATTGAATACATAATCCTATTATAGGTTACGGAATCCAAGCAAGTGTTGCAACGACACACAACTTGTCCATTGAAGTGTTATCAAAGGCCATTGTGTAGCATCTTGAATTGCTATATCTCATCTAGAAGTGATAATTCTGTCAAAAATGATCTTATTTACATCGAATTTACCGGACATTCTTTTATTATGATTTTTGTCGTGTAAATATTTCTTTAATCTTAGGTTTTGCTTCCCAGGTTATGTATAATGTATTGTCAGTGGCAACACTAACTGAAAATAATTTGAAAATACTATTCGATTATAAAACAGTAGCTAGATGGTAATATCTTCGTAGTAGCTCGGTGTCCAGGATGATGATGACGACAAAGAAACATGCTACTAAAAACTTGAAAACTGGGAACAAATATTATATCCTGTCTTATTTCTTCAGCTGATAACAATTTGCGATAAAAAACAGAATGTACATAAAGTCTGCAAACTAATGACTGCTAAATTTAAATCAGCATCTTAATTTTTTAAGATTACTGGGCGCTAATTCTATTCAGTATATTCCGGATATCATCACTGAATCTCTTGAAAATTTTAAATGGTTCTAGTATAATATATCATTTTTAAATGTACTTTATTTCAGAAACCACCCTATCACATAGTTTTTCTCTACTTTAGATGAAAAAAAATGCTGAGTCAACCAAGGAGGAGTCACGAAGAAAGACAAGGCGTCTGATGGAACGCCACGCCGAAGCTCTGCGCGCCTTCGACATCGAAACTGCCAACCTCGGAATCGACAATGCTGCTGTTGTTGGTGCATCTGCGAGGATTTCTGGATCATCAGGAGTCTCCGGCGGATCTTCAAGTAGCAGTACATCGTTCTCTAGCTCCAGTGGACAGCGTCCTTCAGACTGGCGACACAGTCGTGCAGAGTTCCTCCCATCTTAATAAATCCAAAGCAGTCGTGGCTTCGGGTAAGCATTCACGCAAACTATTGTTTTTCAGAACAAACTTTGATAGTTATTAAATTTGAAGGAAAACCTGAAGAAAAAAGACCTGTCAAAACACGTTTTGTGTCGAATAGATGGATGGTTATATCACACTGTAAATCGATAATAGACATAAATTATAAGAAACTAAGTCGATATGAAGTAAATTATTTGTTGTCTAGATGTTAGGTGTATTGCAGTTGTTTATGGAAAGGTTAAATTCAAATTATGTTAAGTAACTAAAAAATTACGTGTGAATGTAAAGTTAGCATTAATTTATCGAGACAATACACTTGCGTCCATCTTCTGTTGTATTGTCTGATGTCGTATTCTTTTATTTTATGCGCATTAACAGATTATTAGGATTTCATATTCCATAGTTAATCTGTTTACAGTACTGAAGTTTGGTTAATATGAAATCTAAAACTTCCAACTCATAAAATATGTGGCAATTATTCACCTTTTTTTATTATGACCCTAGTTATAGACCACTGCTTTATAAATAAAAAAGCTTGGATTTCTTATGGTCTCTTATATGTGATATTGAATAGAATCTAAGAATTGATTTTAGACTTCTCAAAATATCGTATCATTTGCGTGATTATGCGAGGGGTGTATTTAAATACTTTATGAACTTGTTTACTCAAGGCTCGTGAACCCTCTACGTCATAAATTAACGAGCGTTATGTCGATCTGCAAACCTTAGTGTGAACCAATATTATATTATGTTAAATGTGATGGTAAACTGATTTATTTAATGATCATCATCTGAGGTTTCTTGACCAACATCCACTGCCATATGGCTTACTTTGTTTGAATACACTGTCATTTCGGATTCCATATATCTTAGAATTTAAATTACAGACGTATTTTCATTTCCCTTATCTTAGCACCTGTATATTAATTTACAAGAAAGCTTGTTCAATCCCATGAAGCTGCCATATCAGTATATGCATTTGACAGTTTCACCATACGTTCTCAGGCTTGATCTGCAAATCAGAAGTTCATACCGTGTATTTTTCTATACAGAGATAGTTGTATAAGCAATCACATCAACTCGTCAACACAACCCTGTATATGTTAACAACCGGTCAACTAACCACCCCTTCCCCGTAATTTCGAGAACAATCACAACCCGTCTTTCCAGTTATTATCGTAATTTATTTCTGCGATTCTTACAGTATGCGGCTTCTTTTAATGTACAGTTCAGATGTAATCGACAAAACAGTTTCAAAAATCACATGCAAAATACATCCAAGCTAGCTACATTTTTTTGTATTATTGGCTCCTAATTTTATACGATGGTTTTCAATTTTCATGTAACACTTAGTACATAAGACGAAATGAAGAGATGATCAATCTCACCAAGTCTCTTTACTGTTAGGATTGGTTATACTTTATTATTAAATGTATTTAAATTTCCAACAATATGTTCAAACAGTTTATGATTTGTCTCCCTCTTCTTGCCCTGACAACCCGAGTACCGTACTATGACTATCTCCACAAAAGCTTATTATTAATTACTTTCTTTCTTGTAAAATGTTTCGTTGGCTTCAGCACATAATAGAATTTAAAAATCAAAATGATAGTGATACTAAATATATTTATATCATACAATACATGGCAATTTATTTCAGTTGTTTACATGTGTGATGAAGAAAAATAAAGTTGCATGGAAAGTTATGTATGTTGCAATCATACTGTGGGAGATATCGAACTGTACAAGAGGTGATGTATGGTGAATTAACGTAGTTTTTATGTCAAGCATATAAGAACTTCCTAGGATATAGTAAGCTTTTCCATCAGTCTTCGTTAATTGGAATCAGCGGCAGTTGTAGAATTATAGACTTCATAAAAGATGCCGCTGCAAGTGCTGCATATGGTTGCCACTGTGTACCTTGTCTCCCTTCCATATAGTCAGCTATTCCACGAATAAGAATAAACGAGTCAAGGCCGTTTCCCATGACGGACTCCAAAACCTGAAATTAGACATAGAACACAAGGTTAGTTGGACATCGCTCTAATCATCTGAAAGAACAGCTTAACATGTGTACCATATGACTAACTTACAACAAAGAAAATTAGGAACAGTAACAAACTTACTTGATCGTATTCAGCATCATAACATAGTAGGTGGTGTTCTTTAGCAAAGTCACTCATCAATGCGTCATTATCTGTAACTGGTCTGCCAGATCCCATACAACCAAGGCGTACGGCTGGTACGCCTGGTGGGTAGAAACGCGCCAGTTCTTCAGGCACATCCGGATGCTTGATATCGAATGTTACACCTTCGTTGATCTGTATAAAACATGATAGTTAAAGTTTAGAATATCAGTTTTCATTGCATTCAAACTAGAAACAAACACATCTGACTCAGCGCAATATCTTAGTATAATAACAATCCTATGAAAGTAATCCGTGCACAATGCATAGTCTCTTTCATGAGAACAATCTATAGGTAGATCACATTATTAAAATAACGAAATATAAGTGATCAATAACCAACTGATTGCTCACGCGACACGAGTTAATCGATTAGACTAATAATGATCTTATCTGTTAATTGAAACAAGAACGTGAATGGATGTTAATTAGAAGAATTGCGATTTGTAATTGTATTGATTTAACTATTTTTTAATTAATCTGATTCCATCACTATATTATCACCGTGAATTTGCATAATCTCGAAGTATTATTCATAAATCTGTCAAGTTCAAAGGAGGTTTAAACAGTAGCAACAAAGTGAGCATCAACAGAACATCAGGAATTATTACCTGCTCAAAATATACACTTTTGGGACTTACTTTAAGTTTTAGTTTGTCTGTATCAGGCGATGGTCGAGCAAAATCAATGGGATCATCCTCTCCACCTAGTATAATCAAAGCAGACTTTAAAATCTGATCCCATTCACATTTTTCCGGAGCTGCTTCGAAGCGATCAAGGACTTTCTCTACACAGCTCACTAAAGTTGGATCTCGAGCAGCGTACTTTCTTAAAACAAATCTTGGCGTTTTCATATCAACTGCATCTTCCGGAGGTTCAATCAATCGATCACAGTAAATGTAGATAGAGTCTCCTACATCATTCGATACAGAATGATTTGTATGATTGTTCATAGCTGAAGAATGCAATCCACTTGAACGTGCCACAGCACTCACTACAATATCACCCAGGCGAGAATGTTTTTCAAATTCATACACGTGAGGTACACTACCTCCAACCCCTACTAGAAACACATGCTGCACCGCTTGGAATGCTCCTAAAGAATAAAAAAGCATGTGTACTTGATGAAATACATTTTTCAGCAATATCCAATAACTATAAATAGCGATGAATATAAGATTTATCTCTAATAAACCACACAGCTGTTTTATGATACGAAAGTACCACAAAACACAGCTGGTGAGTTTAAGTAATCATTATGATATAATAGTAGGGTGTAGACATTTAAGAGATGAAAAACACTGTCAGTAAGAAGATACAATCACATGTAATGGTTATCGTTTTCCGTTAATGTACCTTTATCTTAATTACCTGTATTTACGCATATTGATCATTAAGAGAGACAGTTATTACATAACAAAATCTTTTCGCTTGCAAATAAATCATAAAGAACTCATGCTTATAAAGTGAAATTATCTGGTCTAGAATGAAAGCTGTGTTTATTTTAACAATAAAATATTACGAAGGAATCGATTACACCAAAAGACTACATAAATTTGTATTAAACGGAGCACACGTGTAATGTTAACTAATAGTTACTAAAAATAAATCAGAGTTTTATCACCTACTCCTCAATGGAATATAAATAAACTCAAAATGCATGGACTGAGTCTTACTAAAAGACGGTTGCTGAAATTCAACAGTGCTGATGTATCAATCCCGTTTCACAACACTTGCATAAGATTCTAGCCTTAATGTACGATCTTATATTCCAATTAAATAATGATAAGGATATTCGTAAACTTGATATTATCGTGTTTCTGCATTTGTAACCATTTCCTATGTTAAAAAATCTGCCAGCGAAGTTCCTTAAGTTGAAATGTGATGAAATAGACTATGTTTGTTAAGTGATCAGCTGTGATAGCTGTATGACAACACTGAAAGTACTTGATTTCATTTAAATTTACGAATGATCATCTAAACAGATATTTTAAACGGAGAGATCTTGGAAAGATAGGAATAATTACAATGCACAAGGAAATGGATAATAACCCGTACATAACGAAAGTCTACAAAAATAGTTTGTAACACCTACAGAAATACTAAACAAACAGCATTAGAAAGTTGTGGCTGCAGATTGAGAGGATAATTTACGTGAATAACAGCACATACTAGAAAAATGAATGTGAACAAACCAATGAATCACCTTTATTATCGAAATAAACACGTGGAGAGATACAACCTTGTCTCTATGATGTAGAACGTCACTTCATTAGTTATTTGTACGGTTAGAACAGGATCACTGACTACGATAAAGCGTAGAAAACCGTTAAGGGATTTACAAACGTTTTATCCATGGAGAAAATGTCTTTGAAGTAGTTATCCACTCTAATATAAAGAACAACTATTGTCCCAAAGCTCAGGATACGGCCTTAACACTTCAAAACAAAAACGTGAGCTATAAATATTATATTCTTATCAAGTAAAAAGTTAGAATAAACATGTAATCTTGTTAACCAGTAAATATTACCGAGAGAACAAACAAATAGTTTATGAACTAACCAAGCAGCCGAGTTGTAATACTCCCAGAGGAAATTTTCGCTTGAAGTTCACGTCCAACCATAGGTAGTTTTGTGGAAATGACTTTATGTGGTCCTATGTTCCCGATAGTGTAAACATGTGATTCACCTAAAATATTAGAAAGGAAAAGATATTGGGGTGTATAAATATACATGTAATTACCCTCAGATTTATAACGAACAAATGTTGTCTTCTGTTCCATCATTGCATCTACAGCTAATTTTTCACAAAGCAAATTAGTGATAATTGCAATTGTAGGCTTCTCAGATGTGGATACTTGTTGCATATGATTTGCTCCTTTCATTTCTCTGACAACTAAAAGAAAAAAATCAAGATAAGCTGAACTATTCATGACAAAAATCAAATTGGTAATATGTATTACATCAAGAAGGATGTAAGGAAATCTAAACAAAACTTCTAATAATAAGTTGTTGATTGACTACATAAGAAGTAAAGCGTCTGCTAGGTGGCTGAAGCATCTAGCTTAATTCCCAAGTTCTACAAGCGTTTCGCCTACGTCAGTTGGAACAGACGAATACTATCTTACATTCTCACAAAACAAGTGTAGTTCGAAGCCCGGGAGCATACAGTTGTAATTAATAAATGAGTTCAATTGTATTTTATAACCATAGATTGAGTTTTCCTCGTAAGGGAATGAAGTGAAATTAGAAGACTTTTTAAAATGATAAAATGAACCTACAGAATGATCAGATTGAATGAACAAAAGCACTAGAACGTATATTTTTAAAATAAATGATATCTACATAACTAGGATCAATTTCGTGATATACCACTTATTCACTGAAGGATTTACTATTTTCATGTACACCTGATGGAACTTGAGATAAGCATGATTTATGGAAAAGTTCAGAGGACTCCTATCCAACTGACAGGCAGTCGCAATAATCATTCTAGTATGGTACCCTAGTTACCATACCAACTGATAAAAAATTAAACGAATACGAAATATTTCAGCAGTATTTTCTTTCAGAACTCGTAGACACTATAAGTAAACCTATTATTTTTTATTTAGTTGTAAAACCTTCATAATTAGGTAGATTAAGAATAAATGTACACTAATAGTTAATATCTTTATAGACCAATTACCGCTATCATTATCACAGGTACATCTAAATATACATGTATGACATGGCAATAATTATAATATCCATGAATTAGTCATACGGTAAAATCAATAACCACTTAAATAATAAATAAAACAACAATTAAAATATGATTGATCTCCATCATTAGTTAGTACATAAACAGAACACATGATATTTCGTGATTATCGATTTGAAGGCAATAAAATTACAGAAAAGTATTTTTGTTTAGATACAAGCAACACAATAATTTATATTTATTTGGCTTCATCTAGTCAAATAACTGCATCAACGAAAAAGGAAGATATAATAAAGCATTAATAATTCTGTCATTTTATTAAAATGCATTATTTGTGAATTAAATTTCACAGTGAACGATGACATAGATAATGGATGTCACAAACTAGGTATTAAAAAAATTTCTAAAGAATATGTATAACTATGAAAGTGTGTGTATTGATCAAACAAATTTCTCACAAAGAAATCTAATTATATTCAGTAGTGGTAATGTGTGTAAGATTGATGATAAGATATTGATATGGCAAGGAAATCATGTATTTACTACTTAGATGAGAGTTAATATGATAAAGTTGCACTTTATGACTAAACAGTGAGGTCTCATACTTTCAGAGACTACATGAGGCGTAATTATTTGTCTAAAATGTAACTCCTTAACAATCTAGACAAGCCAACGCATATATGAAGGTGCAATAGAACAAAGGAAGCTCAATTTAATGTGATAGAGCGACGAAGACTGCGCCTACAAATGAAACATTAGTTGATTTTCGACACTTACTTTTTCCTCTCTCGAGGATCACAATCGTAACTGGTACCTGAAATATCTACAACTTCTTATTAAATCCGCAATTTTACTGAGAAAAAAACACTTTGACCAAATATCTAACAGAAATTTAGAATATACACATCAGCATACAGTCAGTCGAAAGTGATATTGTATTGGCTAATTCGACATTGCATCCAATTTCTAAACATACGAGTTATGAAATTAAGAGCAGAGATGGATAGTGGGTAGCAGTCGAATCCAATACCCGTGTTTCGCCCTATTTGAGACTTGTCAGCTGGATATACCTGAATCCCAGAGCAAATGATTATTCTGGGGAGCGAACCCAGTAACGTTCGCTTCGAACGCCATTGTATTATCGACTTACTACTGAGCCCAGAGAGCTACTGGCTTATAGAATGTGTTGAGGCTTAACTCAATCGTATTGGTTGTTTGAATTTTCCCACTGATATTTAGAATTGACAAGCCTCTTTTAGGCATATGTGCATCTTGTTCGATGTTCACTCCGGGAATCCGACCCAGTAAAAAAGACTGACCAATTGCAGTCCTAAACACTGATGGGAAGATCCAAAAAACCAATATAAAAGAATCAGACTATAGATTATTCACAGGAATTTAAAAATGGTTTCACACAGCATGAAAAGGTATCATTTTCCATACCACATACTACAATGATCACTTTTTCGAAATTATTAATCAGATCAGCTGAATATATGCATTCCTGAGGTCAAACTATTTAAACAACCCTGGTCGATCACATGTGTGATTGTACCAAGTTTTTCTACCAATCACACTTTGAGAAATAAGTTTAAAGTGTAAGAAGTATGAACTTGTGGGAAACCAGATACTTATTTCGTATATAAATGAAATAAGTTAATATCCATTTAGAGTATAATCTTACGCAGATTGAATCAGTATGAAAAGTTCGTTTGTACCCATAACATCTTGTCCTACGTTTATTATAAACAATAAACCCTATTAACTGCGTTACGTTATTTAACGATTATTCATACGAGTTCATGCGGATTTATGTACCATCGCTTAAGAACAAACCAGTGTTAATATATATTTTCCATAGCCTTTTATTTTCTTCGTTAGGTTGGATCATTTTATTGAAGAGAGCACCCTTCTTCAATGTGTTTTTAGGAACCAATAACATTATATCACTGTTTCAGATATATACGAACAATGCATAGACCGAACCTCATTACTATCCACTCTACAGCCATAAATCATAAAAATTGATTACAATCACTGATGTTCATGTAAAACTGACAAAATAATCCTTAATAAATAGGTAATTAGTAGATAACGAATATCTATAATATTGAGAATCTGTATACTGACCATGATTTTGTAGATGAATTTTTCTTCGGAAACCGAATTGACCAACATGCTTGCCTTCCAGTGGTACCAATTGTATCAAATCTCGGTCGACTAATTCATTCAATTGAACTTGTAATAAAGCACGATTATCACATTCTAAAATACTAAACAGAAAAAGGTAAACCAGTAAGAATAAGCGGTGTGACACCACATTCTTAGTTAGATTTAGTTCTCTTTGATATGGTTACTAAACCAACATCTAAAAAAGTAATTAGCATAAATTTTCGGTTAACAAATTTTCTCTAAGTAACTGAAAATAAGAGATGAACTTTTTAACAACAAGAAACGTTAATCGATTTTAGTTGACAGAAATCATCTATTTCTATACAGGTTATTTGTTTGCTTCAAATAATTAAGTCATCACGAGATCAGAATGACCCCTAATTTACAAAACAAAATGAACAGAGTTCAATAGAAATGTAGGTGATGCACACATCATTTTCAACTGAAAAAAGTCTGGAAGTTCACACATTTTTGAGATGAAACTGGCTGAACTATGGTATAATATACTTTTACCACATCACACTATTTTTAAAGGAAAATTTCTTTTTTTTTTGCAATTTTTGAAGTTGACTCAAAAACTTGAATCTTCTAGCCAGTTATACCTTAAATTTTTCATGAGTGCCAAGTATTACTAAGTAACAGCGATATTCAAAGAATTTATTTGCCATGGGCTGACTAGTAACCAATGGTCTTTGGTGCAGGACTAATTTTACTGATCACGTTTGGCAAGTTAAAACAGGGGAGGATTATTGAACTTGGCAACGCCTTTCATAAAACAGCTGACTATAATTGGTAGGAAGTCATTAGTTTAGTACCTCTCTAAGAAGTAAAGGGCAGACGATATGGTTGGTTATCCAGTGGCCACTACATATAATTAATCTAGTCACTTTCGTAGTCAGTCTGAATTCGAACACTTACAATAATGTCTTTGACACCGACACTATGTCTACGATTCGATTAACTCAAGGTTTAGACCTTAACCAATATTTAGAAAATTAAGCGATCAGACTAATAAACAAAAGTGAGAAAATCTTCAAGTTATAAGACCGAAATGGGAAGCTTGGGACAATAAAAAATGTACAATGCTAGTTGCACTACTAGTAAGTAGTTACAATCGATAAGCGAATAAATAAAATATTTTCAAACGACTGAATTAGCTGTCAAAGTATGATGGATGTTTACTGACCAAACTAGACCAAAAAAGTAATCCGATTGTTAATTCATTTTACTGTAACCCAAAATCCTAGATTAGCCTAAAATGAAGAAACTCAATCAAAAGAATACAAAGCAAAAGTAGCATTAGTGATGCAGGCTAACGATAGCAATCAACCAATTTACGAATCTAAGGGCACGTTTATGAAAATGAAATGTGATAGACAAATTATACAATTTTTGACAAAGTGCATACTAATAACCAGTGATTTTTTACTTTACCTGACTAATCAGTGTCTATAACAATTACAAATCAGTTATCCGGTCTCAAGTAAAATGGTTAGTCCTATAAGAAGCCAACCATGATGCTTTTATAAGCGAAGAACGTAACCGATTTATCGGACGTGTTCTATGGCCATCGTAGATTATTTTCAAATAAAATAGTCATAGTAACATAATTGATAGATAAATATCCATAATATTAGAGATGAAACGTTATATTAATTTGGCAAATTGATGGGCTTACTAATTAATCGAAGCCTCACACATAACAAAAAATAGGATACTTAATGAGGGTAAAAGTATCACAATTTTGGCTTGATTTTAAAATCAACCACTTATTTTGCATTGATTGTTATGTCAGAAGTTTAAAATCATGACGATTTGAATGTGGGACTTTCAAACAATTCTTGTACTAATCAATCATTGAGTTTCCAGCCCAGAAAGACGGTATTAACATAGAACCTGGCACAAATATGTGTTGGCCCAAGTTGCCGAACTTGATCCATATGACGAGATGCTAATCACAAAAGAGATCGAAATAATGTTGTAGTAGTAGTAATGATGAATAGAGAGACAAAACCTTGAAAATATGATCGAAAAAGATTGAGTGGAAAGGTAAGTATGGAGAAATACTAGGACACAAGATCGAGAAGATAAGGAGAGAATCCATTCATATATCCCAACCACTTCAGTCAATTAAAATTTATAAAACCTCAGCAAACGATTCGTGGTCTTTGGTTAATCTATGGTGGGGGGTGGCAATACCTACGGAGCTAGCCCATAAAAATGCCGCATGTGACCAACTTCAAGCAGTTTTCCATTGGGCTTTGAAGTCACACTATCAGGTCGCTAAGACCATCACTAATCCAGCTTCTTTTTCAGGTCTCCTGTGAGGAAATATCCTTTCATGGTATGGACAACTGTTCTCATACCGATAATAGGACATTTCCAGCACTTGTGGTATAATATATGATATATTCCAATACAAGCGAGCCGATCAGTCATAAGTGCAGGAATTTTCTTGTAATCTGAATCTATGTAATATGTAATATTGGTTCGGTTGCATATTTATTTCCAACACTGCATGTAATTCCTTCAATTGGACTAATTTTTATTTCAAGTAGTCTCAAGTAAGTGAAAGAAAGTTCACAGAACACAAAGCTAGAAATTATTTATTATAGACAGACTTAATATCACTCTTGTTGAATATCTATATTGCAATCAATAAACAATGAATCACAGAATGTTCAAGAAAAATTTAAAGGTTAAGAAATATGAACATGGAAAAATAGACATTGAACACACAACACTCAATTTTATAAAATCACACGTTAACAAAGAGGAGTGATAGGTAATCTTTATAAACTAAACAATATTTTAATAAACACACATCCACAGAAGGAATAATCTCTTATGTTACATTACACCATATGACATAGTCTACAAAAACCTGTGTAAAAGGAAATATATCAATATGTGAAAAAAATAATCTGTTAATTATTTGGCGCATTAACAAAGATGCAAACGAGATCATGATAAATCAAGTGGCAGAAAATCAATACAGTATAATATTTCCTACCTTTATAAACAAGTCAAAGGAAAGTGTATTGAAAAAAGGTAATTATAGGCCATTATTACCTGTCATTTGTGAACAGGTTAATCATCAAACGAGGATATATAGATCAAAATTTTGAAGTTGACAGAAATTGGAAACATGCATCAGTACCGTTTAATCATAATGGTACTTTGCTTAAAATAAACAGTCATCAATAGATATTTTGTGTGCAAATTTATTGTGTACTGTAAGGCAGCTTACGAGGTAACTTGCACAAAAATGTATGTTAGTTACTATTTTGTTGATAATAATCCTGGAAACTATAACCAGGTGCAGTTAAGTGGTTCCCACGAATAACTTAATGACTCTAAAGACGGATGATATGAGTCTGTGTAATCCAGCGAAAGTGGGCTTCCTTTATTTTAACTGATACAAACTACTTAATAAAAATATTTTAACGCTGATTAAATTCTATCGATCAGCACATTAAAAGGCTGAAAACAATGAAAACTAGGTATAAACATCCGGAGACTGAATAATGTGAAAGTAGATAAAATACTCATAACCATCTAGTTTAATAGCATGGAGAAAAAAAAAAGTATTAAAAATAAAACACAAAAATGCAGAGACTATTTGATCAGTCCGACAAGGGAAAAAATTGTAGCAAGGATATCTTATTGATTTTGTTTGCAATGTCAAAACGTAAGTTGTTTGTAAAAATTAAATCGCTTCACTAGTCTGCTTCATCTGCTTTCTTGTACTGATGAGTCAGAGGATAGTCAAATAATAATAAGAATAGTACGGAGAATAAATTTTTTACATGGTGACAATCCCACTTTACCAATTAACAAGTTGGTTGCCTAGATTAACTAAAAACGGATTAAGCAATATATATATATATATATATATATATATATATATATAATACAGCTCCAAACACAGAACAAACTAAAAATGATTAAATTTAACTGTTAATTGTATTGTATGTGTTATGTTCTTTGACTGTATAATTTACCTTGGACACTATACTTCACTCGACTCTTTCAAAAAAAAAATTAAAAAAGGAAAAATGTATATTTTGTCCTGCTAACAGGGTATGCAATGAATAAAAGCAGTTTAGACAGATGAATAAAAACTTAAAAAAACAAAAAGAATTTATTAATATCTATGGAATGTGTAATTAAGTGACAGAAGAGGAGAAAAATCTGGTAGTAGAACTATCTTTAGTATAAATAACCAAACTTATGAAAAGAGAAAATTTTTACTTAAATAGATATGTCTGTACAGAATTATGGGACCTGAACAACAATTCAGCGTCAAACGAAATGTGAAAAAAATTGAGTGGTTGCAACGATAACACGAAATTAAATATTCATAAATCTTACAATAAAGAAATAGCTAGAAACACTAATAGATAAAATGAATTGCAAGACTAAACACACCCATAAGTGATAAGATTATACAAACAATTATGGTAGATTTAATTAAGAAAATTATGCATATTCATCAGATTAACTCTTGTCATGGACTGGTTAATATATAAGAAATTTAGAAAAAGTTTTAGACATGAAAAACAACATCTCAATTACATAACGGATAAGCTAACAAGTCTTAAATTCCCTTAGTGTAGAAAATGTTCGTAAATCAGTTAATTTAATCAATAAATAAAAGGAAATACCTGAAGATGTAATTTAAATACTTTGGTTTACTGAAATTGTCCTACTGAAGTATACAAATTGGTTGAACATGTTTTATAGAAAAATAAACAAAGATAAGAACTAGCGTTGAACCATTTATTCAAAAATAGTCTAGGAGTAATATTTCCAACTGTAATGTTAAATATTGACTACACATGTCATTAAACGAGTATAAGTCCCCATAGGGTTATTGGTAATTTCTAACAGATAGTTTGCATGAAATGATTCCCATCGACAACTCTCAATCATTTACAACAGAACACTTTGTCTAGGTACTGAGTATAAAACATTTAACTGATTGTTTTAAAATGGTACATAGCAATGATTAAATACGATTTTAGTTATTTAGTTGGCTGAAACTAATATGTATTGAAACAGGAAATGATTGATAAAATATGCTGTATAATTACCGAATATAACACAATATATAAGGGAAGAAGAATAAAAACACAATTTCCAGAGAATAAATACAACTTAATAGCCACACATAAACTCATGAAGTTTATTTAGAATAGATTTTGTATACAATTTGTATTTGAGGTACCATTTCAATATGCATTAAATAACTTACTACTAAGTATCCTTTGAATATATGGTATACTTATGACATGAACAGATACCAATCAGTATCACAATATAAGGCCGGGAAAGAAAATGAGAATCTGCAAACACTGGTTAATAAACGAACCATTATACAATTGAGAAGAGAAATTTTGTTTAGTACAGAATGAACTAATAGAAAGCAGCTAAACTAAATTTCAGTTATTTTAGATAGAATTTGCTCTACATTCTACAGCTAGGTAACTAAAATGAAGATAATCGTCTTATTAGATAGACTAACCTATTACTGGACCGATAAGTGTAAACTACTAAAATGATTCACTACTACACATTAATCTTGGTTAAAAATGTATAAAACTGTAATTTCGTGAATCACCTAATTGCTCGCATGTATAAGCCACTAGTAGCAAATTTAGTGAGACACAAGAGTACTATAAAGAACATACATCATTCTTGTCACTCAATACAACTTATTTTGTCGTTATAGTACTGATCCACTTGATCACATAAAAATCTTTTATCGAAGGTGAAAAACTTACCGAATAAGGTCGTCCATGGATAAAACATTAGGATAAGCTTCTTCTAATCTCATCTGCAACGATTCACGTATAACTTGTTCAGTTGGTTTATTGTCTCTCTCTAAATAAATAACACGGGAAAGATAAATATAATCAAAATGTTAATTCTTTCTACAGATAAAAAATGAAGTAGACAAACCATATGATTCCTTGTCCGTTAAATTATCCACATCCTTCAAGGAAAAAAATGAATTGTTGTGGAAAATACAATCATGCGTAAGTGATGGAATGAGTACAGTCAGAAGCGAGTCTTATACACACATAAAGATAACGAAAATTCAGAGTGGACGAGATAAGATGCATATAATCAGTGGAAAAATATTGGAAACAGCTTAAGACTCATATTATCATTGCAAACCATGCTACATAAAAGCAGCAAAAGTAAATGGAATTATAATTTATTCACTTACGATTCCCTAACTTAGACGTCTAGAAAAAAAACTATATTGAAAAACAAAGCGAGTACATTAATGTTAGAACTGAAATGAACATAAATCGAGTCTTAAATATCCACTACTCAAGAAAAAAACTCAACAACGACAAATGGAGTAAGTTAAGTTGTATCATTGAAAAACGACTTTTTTTGCATTAAAAAATGCAGCGGTATAACTAAGATGTCACTGAATATCTTCTTGTGTAACCCTGCAACGTGGTGGAAACACAGTAGTGCACTATTTATTACTTTAGAGGAATATAGCTACAATTGTCGAGCATCTTTGCTAGAACAAAAATAGATTTAAAATACCCAGTTATCTTCTCAATGTAATAGTTTCAACTTTAATCAATTTATAAGACATAATTTATGAAGTTAGTTCATTGAGTACATTGATTTAATTGAAGTTCATTCAATTCCAAACAGTTACAGATAGACTGATGATTGAAAAAATCCAAGAACAAGATCAATGTCCAAACCAAAAGAGCTGTAGTAACGAGTCTAGACAAAAAAAGCTTGAAATATTGTCAAAACATTTAATAAATACATAACTGTGCTAACTAAAATTATCTAAAGTGATAAAACTAACTTATTTTTTAACCACCATGTCTTCAAAATCAATGAACAATGGTCCCTAACTATTACGAAATGCAAACACAAAATTTACAGCTTTTCAAAATGTACTCAAGAAGATGTACATAATTTATATCAAATAGTAATATGCACTAGAACATAGGATGGGACTTCAGTGAAAACACTAACCAATAAATCACTAACAATAGGTTGAAGACAGCAACTGAATGTATGAAATATTCTAATAGGAACGATAAACAATAAACAGAATAATCAATAAACAGTTATTTACACATATTTTATGGTATGATCTAGCAACAAGATAGTCTGTAAATAGCATCTGATGGATAGGACATATAAATGTATAGTTTCTAAGGGAAGATTATCACTATCAAAGGTGCTTTCAAATAATTCATAAAATGTGCAACAACTGAATTGTACTTTGAGTTGAACAACAATATCGGTAAAATAAAATTAGAATTTTGATACGATAGGTTGATTAAAATGATGAATGCTTCATGTTCAAAAACTGAGATCACCAAAAAAGTCAGTACGAATTAGAAAGTAGTGAAGTATGGTCTGAGCTTGGATTGAAATCTTAAATAATTATAAGCACCTGATTATAACATAATGAAAACTCAATGTAATAACACTTACGGTTATTGACCAAAGTAAGTCGAAAAAAGTATGCAATTTGGATAAATAATTACATGTTTTATTATAAAAATCACCCGACAAAATGTTACTGGGATAACACTCATACAGACTGCGATTCAATGAATAAATCAAACAAGAAGTTTTCGCTAGTTTTCTCATCTAGTAGTCGTTGTAAAATGGGAAGCTGTGACGGAATGTTGTATATCAGAAAGTGCACAGGATCGCTCAATGGCATGATCAGCTGATAGTGTAGGATACTTATTTGCGCTACGATAGTTCCATATATTTCTTGAATATTTGGACGCATCCAAAATTTCAACGTGTTTACGTTAAAGAGATTTACAATATTTCATCAAGAAATAGGAATAAAGAAAATATAAAACATTGGAGTTGGGAAGTAAATAAAACTAATTTCAATAGTGTTATATCCGGCAAAATCTTGAGACTACCAGAATGTTTATAATGAATAAAGGAACTTGCATGGAATAAGTTCAACAGAAGAAATGACTCTGTTAACAGACTTGTTTCAGCTAATGATTATAGAAAATGAAACAGCGAAAACAAAACGGGAATCAAAGTGCATAAAATGAATTTTTACCAAGAGTGGAGGCACAATTAAACTATAAAGATGAATTAATGATGAACGTGCGAATTTCATTAATTTCAAGGGACATACATCAAAACCGAATGTTGTTATTCGAACGTAAATTATTGGTCTTAATATTCAAAGGGTTACCCATGTTGTTTGCAGTTAAGACTAAGATTTAGATTTTTGGATCAGGATTTAGGACTAGCATTTAAACTTTACGACGAGGATGTACAGTTAAGGTTTTACACGTAGTTACAACTAGAACTAGGATCTAGCACTTAAGATTATGATTTGTGATTATGTTTTATGGTTAGTTTATTATTTACACTAAATCTTAACTCGAACCGTAAACCTTAAACTTCACACCCTAATCCTAGATTTAGTGAAATTAAACCATGAGAAACTCATATACTAAGTCTTGATGGGTCAATAAAAACAAAGAAATAGTGAAAATAAGTCGAACTTTCAAAATAGAAAACAAGAAGTATAGCGCAAACCTTACACTATAATAGTAAAACATAGTAAAAAATATATTTTTGTTTGTAAACGATGTTAAGAATATAAATCTAATAGACAAAACATTTCTTGAAATGCAATATCGAAGTGGACGCTACTCACAAGATTGTTTGAAAGTAGTGTGTAGTGAAACATAACGTCGAAGTCGCCACAATTATCAGACTGAGTAAAAATTTCCAGTGCATCAGCAGCAAGGCGTCGGTAGAACACTTGGAGAACAGACGAGAAGACAGTTCAGATGTCAGAACGAATTGAAAGATGCGAATAGACGGTTGCACACTATGCATATGTGTTTTGTAGATATTTTGTAACTTCTAGCAATAAACACATACTCCTCTCGCTTATTATCGTGTTTAACAATATTAGTGTGAACTAATATTCTGCTCACGTGAGTGAAAAAGTAGCATAATATGAGCTAGACGTTGAAATGCCAAAAAACGCCATGACAAAAATTCGAGTCGTACATAAAGATCACTATTATTATTTGATGTGTGGGCCAGGTTGATAATGATTGGTTATTTGCTTAGTCAAACTTGTAGATAGACAGGCGTTGAACTATATGTTCTCCTTCCTTTATGATTGTTGGATTGTTGTCGGTTTTTTGGTGCGGAAATATATTTACGTTCTAGTTAGACTAATCACGTTTTCGTGATGTCAGTTGTGTTGAAGTCCTTTAGTATAGACACTGGGAGGGAATCTAGTGTAGACATGTGTCTAAGGCAAATTAACGTCCCTTTCGTAAAGACGTGGAAAACCGACAGTCATAACATTATTATTATTAATCTATCCAACGGCATACGTTTGATTACAGTAAAAGATTCTCAGCACAAAGTACGCAAAATTGCAATTAATTTGTAAATATTTAGAATATAAGTATTCAAAGTTTTTAAACAGTAATTAGCTGCTATTCACATTCACTTGTAAGCCTTTACAATCAATCATGCTCCCATTATATATTTTTCAACCTTCAAACAAACTTAATGTGTGGATTCTATAATAATCTCCTATCGTTTCTTCCAAAAGGCAGAGGAGGACAAAACTATACGAACCACCAGGGTGATATTTATTCAGTTTCCCAATAATCAAAGTCAACAAAGCGTTGTAAACATAGGTGCAGTTAGCAGACATAATTCTCCGATTAGAACAAACGGAAAATAAATGAGCGTTTTGAAAAATAATGGCATAGAGCTTCGAGTAGGCAATCGAAAAAATTTTCAGACTAACGTGTTTATCAGTCATACTAAACAACATCTTTCTAGTAATAATGGAAAACTTTCTTTTGTATGAGACATGAAGTAGACTTGATTACTATTTTTAATATTATTGGTCACTTATTGTAAAGTGTTTCCGCCGTAAATTATGTATAGTCAGTGTATAAAAATGTATAGAAACAGTCAACCATTTGGAGTGCATTATCATAAAACGTATATTTTTGAGACTTTGAACATACACAAGTTCAAAATATTTATTCCCATCACATGACTAAAGCAAAAGGAAAGAAATCCCAAAGCTAATCTTCATAAATTTCTCCATATTTACCCTGACAAAACAGATATGAACCGTGAATGGAATTAGTCAACCCCCAGTAACCACCATCGTTAAACGTAACAACACAAATATAACGTATAAGTTAACGTACCTAAGTTTGGGCCACATTATTTCAGCGAGACTTATCCATACTGCAAACGGCGAAAAGAGGTTCGAACCTGCAACTTAGTAATTGAAATTCAAACTATTTTGATTGTCGCACTCTACTGGTGTTTAGTTATAAGTCATAAATGCTAACGCTGATCGACAGAAACTATGATGACGAAACAGACAGTTCACCCAGCTTGTATAATTAAAAATTAGCTCATTGCAGTTGCTTTGCACAGTTGAAACCGATGAACTAAACGATACATTAAGTTTCAAATGTGAAAAACAGTGTACACATAGATTAAATAAATCAAACTCCTAGCATCCCAAATAACCTGTTAATTACTTGAAAGTTTTGCCAAAAGTTATAATTTCTTTTCAGAATTTCAGGATTTACTGGCATAAAGGACAGAAAATGATTATTAATAAACACTATACACCGTTAACGACTGTTCATAGTAATGAGTAAGTCATTTGAATGCCAACCACGTAGTCGGAGGAAGCTGAAAAAAATTATCATTTTGACTTATAAATCGCGAAAGTGAAGTACTGATGAAACAAACTGGGATGAAATCAGACAACCACAACTTTAAACATTAAAACTAAAATTGCATTTAAATACGCATTAGAAAAATAATTGCATTATATTGTGATCCAA